AGTTTCAAAAATACTTGGTCTACCACATTTTATTCTCTGCTTACAAGGGCTATTTCTATTTTAATTTAACATCATTTGGCATATGGCCAACACTGCGTTCTCCTTAACTGTCAGTTTCCTTCTATATACGTACCCCTACAGCAGACAGAGAAAAAAAGAGGAACAAGTAACATGTGGAAGAACACACTAAACCCATAAAAACCTTCTGAAGGTGCTGAGAAGCGGGTGTAGTACTGTCCACAGGTTGTATAATTTCTAGATTTTTAGCAAATGATATCCCCTTAGCAGTAAGCCATAACAGACTCCCATTTTTCAATGTTCTACTTACAGCAATGCTATCACAGAAGATTCATATTCAAGTACTTAGATTTTAAACTCTGAATAACAAGCATAACTAAGTTGCTCAGTAGCTCTATACAATGGGACTTGCACAATCTCACATTTGCCATCAGTAGGCACAATTGGTCTTGGGCTGAAAAAGTTAGTAGCATAACTAGCCAATGCAGCAGAGTGCTCTGAAACACTCTCAATAACACAAAACATACTATCACTTGCAATTGAAAGTAAACTCTGGTTTTCATAGAGAGGATATTGACTTCAGAAGCCACAAAGACTTCGCTACTTGATCATTAGCCTCTCCCAAACTGGTATCAGGATTCTGTGTCTGTATAGCACTGAAAAACATGGAATATCTTTAGCTTTATTGAAGGAAAAAAGAAACTCCCTGCAAGTCTCAGTGCTAAACTAGCTTTCCATAACCAGAGCCAATTAAGCTAAGCCTCGAATGAATCAACATAGCATGAATTAAGAAGTGGGGAGGCATGCATGCAGAGACCTGTATTTTCAAGTAGCAAGAACTGGCAGAATAAAACACAAAGATGCATTCATAATAAGTCATGCTCATGCCACAATTTATCTGCTGCAACAAAGTTAAAAGGTTTTTAGCACCAGAGCTAAAGAGTAACCCAAATGCTTATAGGCTCCAGCAGCACAAAGTCTGAACTCTCACTGCAGTTTATAAGCCAAAAACACTAGTAGAACTTCCTGTTCATTTACTTTAAATACACAACACAACCACACTATTATGTCTACAGGGTCAACCATTTCACAGTTTACTTTCAACATTAAAATCTATCTACATATTCTACAAATATTTTTCCAGACAGTGAACACACAAAAAAACTTCCCATGCCTTTTCTCTCTTGACAGAGAGATATCCAAAATGTCCACGATAGTTTCTATCTGCCTCCCATAATCCAGGTAAAGCTTATTAACTTTCATAATTTGTAGTATTTTAGTTTAGCTTAGAGAGGTTGGGGGGGGAAGTAACATTAACATTAAAGTACCCTCAAAAATTAATAAACTGAGAACAGTTATATGTCTCTTACAGGCCTCAAAGCAAACTGTAACTACGCTTTCCAGAGCACACATGGCAGTATCCATAGTGCTGTTTTTAGTATACTCAATTCCAAACTTATTTCAAAATCTAGACTATATCCAGTTTTTTCTTATTTTATATTCTACTGACTACAAAAATTAGAAAAGAGTGCACATTTTAGTCTAATTTTGCTACCTTCACACAGAAAACTCTGTATGAGCTGTCCCCATAGATGCTTCTGTAATACCAAGTGTCAGCTCTGCCTCCACCCATATCGTATGGGATCCCCAGATGAATGGTATATCAGTAAATAACTCAGAGGTATCTTCACTGTTCCTGATAAGCACATCAAAGTTAAAATCATTAGCCAACATACTTAAGTCAACATCTCGTTTATATAAACACAAGAAGCAACTCTACCTGTATTTGAGGGTTGTGTTTTTAAGATAATATCTGAGTCCATCACCACGTCTAAGAAGTTAGAAACTAAAACACCTCCTAAAATTCTGAAAGACTTCTGCATAGAAAATTACTATGAAAATCTGATATTGCACTGACTGTGAGCACATGAAAATTTAATGTTCCTTTTATATTCCAGACAAATATCTGTATCTTTTTCTCCCCTGCTCTAACAGCAAGCCTAAACTGTGCTTTTCCTAGCTTTGGGCTATTGCTTTTTTGTTGTGACATCTCCAGAGCGAATGCTTTTCATTCCTATCGATACTTCTAACAATATTTATGCAGGGTGCGTATCATTCACTTACCCTGAAGCATTTCTTTTCTGTTGTATACCTTAACCACAGTATCACATTGCAAAGTTCACATTTAATCTGCTGTCCATTTTCCTTTAACTTATCGCTTTATTGAAAAGAACTTTAATTTGAATGGCCATTTCTTATGCTTAGATGAGGTCTCATTTTATTAGTTATCTCCTAAGTATGTTTCTCTACAATGCAAGCAATTGCCAGAACCAGACCAGTCCATTTTATCTACTGGGTCTCTGAACAACCCTTACAACTTCATGGCTCATAGCTGTAGCAAGTAAACCTAGATGAAAGGGACTGGACTGGGTATTTGGAAAAAAAAAAAAACAACAACAACGAAACCAAAACCAACAAAAACCAACAAAACATGGAGAACTTCATCAGTGTTCACTCTGTTTTGCCAAGCTACCACAGAGAATGTTTCCACTATACATGCAGTGCTCAAGACACAATTGTCACAAAATCACCTACATAAGGTCCTCATTTTGAAATGTTTTTGTCTCCAAAACACTGTAATTATTTACACTTTAATCTAAATTTTATTCTTTCACAACCCTACTATTATCATAGCTGAACACTGCTTCCCTTTGTCCCAAAAAAAAAGAAGCTTGGACAATTTTAATCCTTCAAGTCACATGGCACCCAGACAAGTCTCCTTGTAGCCATTCTTCAAATTAGCTTCACCTCCCTCTAGTACTCATAATTCCTTCCCTAGATGTTGTGCAGTTCTGTACCTCTGGATAATAGATTTACCCAAGAAACAAGAGGAAGTGACTGTTAGTAAATTGCATTATGCTTCACTTGGAATACTGGTGAACACAGGTGTTATGATTGTAACTGCTAATAGATGCTTGTGGTAAAACTAACTTGGGGGTAGACTTTTTTCTGCACCAATAATATACACTATTCTACTTACTCCGTTCTTCAGGCAAAGATTGGTATTTGTAGGAAAACTGCACTGTTAATGTCGCAGGCCAGACATCAAAAGCATAGATTATAGTGAAGTACATTGTTCTTCCAGATGTACATGATCTGCCAAGATGTCATTTTCAACAGCTGACATTTAAAAGGAGGATGCAGTTGAGAAACTCGGTTACATGACATAGATGCACACACTTACTAATCAATCTCAGGAAAAAAAACCCAACAAGCAAAAACCCCACCTCTCATGCTTGTCAATAGTTGGATGCAAATCAAAGAATCACTTTAGTCTTTTTTTTTTTTTTTTGAGTTGAGTTTTAGTTCTCAATCAAACCTCGTGCTGTGCTAGTCTGAGCAGCCTACTGAGTCACAGCATTCAAAGAAAGTAGGACAAAAATATCACTGAATGCTGAGCCCACATTGAAAATATGCCATAGTCCCTCATTCTCCTTATACATTTCACTTCTGTAATTAAATTGTACCCATAGAAATATACTACCTCCATTACAGAGCTATATTACTCAAAATAATTTCCTGAGCACTAAGCCTGCAACACACCAAATTGTCCTGAACAGTTTAGCAAAAACATAACGTCATACATATATGCACATGACTTTCTACTGATACAGTTACCAAGCACTGAAACTCTGCAGGAAATGAAATACTCTCAGCAAAAAATGGACCTTCTGAAAAGCACACTGAAAATTTCGTGCTTATTCTCCAATTTCCAAACTACTGGAGATGTTCCTCCTGCAAGGTACTACTTCTAAAATTTGCCTGCTGTGATTCTGAAAGTAGAGTTCATTTATTTCACTTTTATAAAACTCCATTCCTTCTTTTAAATGTGTACGGCCAGAGAAATTCATAGTGAAAGAGAAACAAAGCTTAACTTCTATACTGCAAATATAAATTTAAAACTCATTAGTATGTGCAACATCCCAGCTTAAACATTCAAATGGATTTTACAGTAATGCTCCCTGATCTGACTGAACAACCTGCCCAACCATTCACATACTTCATCTTCTCTTAAACTTCATTTTGGATAAATGCGTAAAGAGAAAAGCTCTAATTTCTGTTGCTTGTATGCACGAAACTGGATCCAGTCGGCACGTATTCTTACAAGCTTTCTCATTTGCCACACAGGCTTTTTTTAAATGTCATGAAAAATCCAAATGTAGCAAATGAAATAATGAAAAATAGTACCAGATAACTGCACAAGTATTACTAACAAGCTGTTTTCATGCTCTGTTCTATTATTAAAGTGGTTGAAAAGGTAGGTGCACACAGTGCTGCCCATCACTGTTTTTCTGGAAAAAAAAAAAAAGAAAAAAAAAAGGACGAATACGATACTTAGATTTACTCCCACAAGGTTAGGAAGGGTGCAGTTTTAAAAGGTTACTGAGAATTTACGTCCACGCTTAGCTCCAGGCGGCACCCGGGGCGAGAAGCCGAGGGTGGCCCAGGGCCCCGGCGGAGGAGCCGCCGCCCCCCCTCAAGGCTCGCTCCGGGGGTGCTGCCCCGCTCCCGCCCCGGGGAGACCCGCCGAGGCCCGGGAGGCAGCGGGAGGCCCCCGCCCCGCCGCGGCACGGCCCACGCGAGTCCCGAGGAGAAGGAGATGAGGGGCTTTGCCCCGAGGGGGAAAGACGCTCCCTCGTGGAGGGGAGAAGAGCGGGGCCTCCCTCTGCCCCCTCAGCGAAAGGGGAAGGAGGGCTGAGCAGGGCGGCGGGGCGGCTTGCTGAGGGGGAGAAGCGGGGAAGGGAAAGCTCCGAGGCAGGGTGCGGGGAGGCGGAGGGCAGCGCTGTCCCCGCAGGGCCCTCAGCACGCCGCAGGGGTTGGGGCAGAAGCAGGCGGCAGCAGAGAGGCTGAGGGAAGGGGGGGTTCCCCCCTCGCCCAGCGCCGGGGCCGGTGGCAGAGAGAGCCGGCCGGCCGCCCCTCACCTGGTAGATGTCGGCCCAGCTGGCGGCCTGGTCGAGCCGGTGGAACTCCTTCTCGATCTCCATGGTGGGGACGCCGCGCCAGGCCTTGGCCGCCCCCCCGCCAACCCAGCGCCTCTCA